CATAAAGTTATAGAATCACTGAAATGAGTAAAAATTTTTGCAAGTTTTAACAATAATATTCTGATTTAAAAAAAAAAATACAGGATGCAGACGGTAGAATGAATAAAGGGAAGACTGTTACCACTAACTTATAGTATAAATGCTTATATGTATAGATGTATTCCATGGAAGCTGTGATTCAAAATACGAAATATGTTTTAAAATTTTTAAAGTATAATGTGAGAGGTTTAATTTCATTATTCTGGTAAGCAATGTAATTTCCTATTATAAAGGTAAATTAAAGATGTTATTTAAGTCGATTGGCAGCAATTCTGCAAAAATTATGATACAGGAAAATTTAATAATTAATTTTAAAAATCCGAAAGCATTCAGATTTTATAATTACGTCTAAATGGATTTTTTTAATGTTTTGTGTGTTACCTTTATTTATTAAATATCATGTTCTTGGCACTTAAGCAACATAAAACTCAGTTCACCAGCAGTATCACAAAATATTTAAAAACAGCATATCTTTAGAATTTCCGATAGACAGTCTCGCGTGCTGGAGATTAATATGTTTTTTTTTTTTTTTTTCGTACAGTGTTGCCATTGCTCGTTTTGAAATCGTTGAGTTTGTTAATCAAAAATTCGTTAAAGATTTATAAAATATGAAATAGACAATAAACCAAATTTGAAATTCAAAATTCGGGCTTCTGCCCATGTTCGGAATGAGAATTATTCAAAATTTATGGCTTTAGGTACCGTCGTTTTTTCTCAAAATACGAGAAACATAGGTACATTCATACAGCTTCTTCATTACTTAATTTCTTTAACGGCAATACAGAGCGATATTATTTGATGGCACCAATTTAAAAAGTGTTTCGTCGTTTATAGTAAACTCCACAAAATGCCATTCTGAGACTAAATAGCCATTCTGGGCTATCGGGCCTTTGGGCTAAAGAAAAACAAAATCTGAAAGCTTTGAGATTTTAAATTAAGCCCAAAGGGCGCTTTTTGTGTTATCATTGTTTATTAAATATCATGTTCTTCGCACTTAAACCATAAAATTCGATTCAATAGCAATATTCCAAAATAATTTTAAAATGAGCATATCTTTAGAATTTCCGATACACAGTCTTACGGGCTGGAGATAAAAGTATTTTTTCTATACAACGTTGCCATTGCTCGCTTTGAAATCCTTGAGTTTGTTAATTAAAAATTCATTAAAGTTTTACAAAATATGAAATCGATAATAAAACAAATTTCAAATTTCACATTTGGGCTTCCAGATGCCCAGTAGGATTAAGTAATTCAAAATTTGATGGCTCTAGGTACTGTTGTTTTATCACAATCCGAGAAACACAGATACGTTTATTCAGATTCTTCATCACTTAATTTCTTCAGATATAATACAGGGCGATAATATTCGGTGACATAAGTTTGAAAAGTGAAACGGACGTTCAGAGTGATTCGACGTATTCCAGAGATCCACGGCTCGACTCCCGCTTCGCCTCATTTTTCATCTTGCCTGCTTTCAAAAATACCTACTGTTTCTACAGTGGCGCCGAACTAAAAGGGTGGTGGATGATGATTCTCCCCGCACAGGTTTTGGCGATAGGGTCTCCTAAAAACCGCAGTCGCCCTTTTAAAAAGGGGGAGTATATAAAGTATTTCTCCCGCCTCCTTAGCATGCCTTCGTGGTGTGGTGTTCTGCACGCTGGGCGCGTATTCCAGAGGTCCGCGGCTCGATTCCCGGCGAAGGCGTTGCTAATTTTTTCATCTTGCCTGCCTCAAAAAAAAAGTCTCTACAGTGGCGCCCGAACTAAAAGGATGTTGGATGACGATCGTCCTCACCCAAGATTTGGCGATTGGTCCCCTAAAAACCCCAGTCGCCCTTTAAAAGGGGAGTATATCAGGTATTTCTCCCACCTTTTTTGGCATGCCTTCGTGATGGGGTGGTCTGCACGCTGGACGCGTATTTCACAGGTACGTGGTTCGATTTCCCAGCGAAGGCGTTACATATTTTTCATCTTGCCTGCTTCCAAAAAAATAACTAATGTCCCTACAAGGTATATTTTAAATTATAATAATCAGATATATTATTAAAAATAAAATTAACGTGTATGTTTATTGATTTTAAGCCTTAAGTTTTATTAAACTATTGTAGAATGACTACATTTCAGATATAAATTAAACATTTCATAGTTATAATGGCAGTGCTCAAAGAATTTGCGATTTGTAAATCTGCATAAAAGATAAATTAAGGTTTAATGATTTTCTCAATATCAGCATTTGTTAAATCGAGTAACTGATAAATGAATATTGAGCAATCAGTTCAGAATGATGATTGAATGGTTGCATAAAATAAGGAAATATAGCCAAACATTTTGAAAGATTCTAATAAAAATGCTTCCAATTCCCTAAAAACAGTAGGGATTCTAGTTTTACAAATTTTATTGACTTTCAATTATTTATTTGCTAATGAAAAATAATATGAATGTTGCAAAATGTTTAAACTGAAGCTAAATTTAAGAAAAGAATTTATTGCTACCTAAATTAATTTTAAACAGTTTATTCACTGACTACAATTGCAATTAGAATTTTACTAACTTATTATATTTTCTATTTCATTCAATGAATTAGTTTTTTAGTGTATTAACCGGTTGTTTAATTTTTAGTTTGAAAACTTTACTTTTAAGCAGGGAAGATACAGGTTTTATAAAATGACAGCAATGAAGGCCTTTTGGGGCCCAATAAATTCTTTGCGTAAGAGTAACGAATAAAAAAATTAATTCATCCAGTTGGAAATATGCAATTCAAAGAGACGTATCAACAATCAAAAACCAATAATACCATCAGATGGGAAAATTTTAAAGGGATCTGAGGACAAATTCATTTTTATCATGTTATTTATTCATGATATAAAAACAAGAAAAGTAACTATACTGGATTTTAAATGTAGTGAATAATATTGCAAATAATTCCTTGGCAAGAATGAAGTAGACTGTCGATTTTGCAGAAAATAGATAATAGAATTTGCTTATTTGAAAGCTTATATTAAAGGAGGATTTAACTTTACGTCCAACAATTAAGAATTTCAAGTGATAATAATTACATTGGAATAAGTTACATTACATAGTAACTATTACACAGCTTTGTTCAGGATAAAAACTTATTAAAATGTATGGTATGCGCCTAATTTCTTTCATAAAAGCATAAAATTGCGAAGTCAGAGATAAATAGGCATATAAGTTTCCTTTTCCTTGGTAAGTAACATAGTTTTTTATTTTTTGTTAAGGAAATAGTTTTACAAATATTTTATATAAATTATCATTTTGAGTCATTGGTGAAATATCATATGTAATATTTAATGCATAGCAACTCAGACTGTTTTCATTTTTTATTTCTTATACCATTTCCTCTCAGATTGTTAAAAATTGTATATAATATCAGTAATTAGTCTACTTTCTTCGAGATCACTTGCACTTTATGTAAATGAATTTGATAATTGCTTTTTATGCATAAAGGACGTATTCTTGCGGCGATTTACGTCCATCTGACAACCTTGATTCTTGGCTATAGCTCTCCGTAAATTTTCCATGCAGTAAACTTTCTTATAGCACCGTCATGTCAATTTTATCCCAATCCTCGTAGGTCATTTTCCAAAGTCCGCTCAGTGTTCTTGGCTGCGATTTTCCTAATGCCCTTTTTAAAGAATCAAAAATGCAAAAGTTCATATGAGAAGCATTGGATGATTTTACAGATATTTTATTAAATGGGATATATTTTATTCTTGTTACTGATTCTTTCTTTGTAAACAAGCGAAAGTTGATTTAGATGTGTGATAGACTTGTAGGACCATATGATGTTCAATTTTACTAACGGCCTTTCACACTAGAATTTTTTCTAGTTCATACACTGCTAGAATTTTTTCTTCAAATATTTTTTCTAAAATATTCGGCTGATAGTACAGTGAATTAATTTTAGCCTTATTTGAGAGTTCTTTGAATCTTAATTTACTGTGGTATCAAAATACTGAATCCTGTTGGGAAATTTTCTGTACATTGACGAAGCCATTTCATACGACCTTTTTCGTCGGATGAACAACACAAAATTGATCTTATCATTATTATTATTATTACAATCGCTTAAATACAACCATGCCTTATCGAGTATTAACCACAAATTTCCATCTTTATTACTGATTTTACTTACAGTGAGTAAAAACATTCTCAGTTCCAATGTAGTGGATCTTTGAGTTAGTGAATTTACTTTCAGGATAAGAGACTTTATTTTCGTGATATTTAATCTCATTCGAACAGTCTTAGGATGTGGTTTTACGACTATTTTTTTTTCATTTTTACTTTCAGTTTGATGTTTTTTCACTTTCAAATTTATTAAATATACCTTTCTTTGAAATATAATAACGTTGATGTTTACATCGATTTACAATTTATTGATACGAATATTTTTATTCTGAAAGTTCAGTTACGTAACCTTCGAGCCATTTACCAATTTTAGGGGCCATTTTAAAAATATATTCCTTATTCTGCTTTCCAGTCAAAATAAAAGATTTGCAGACGATTATATAGAAAATGCCAAATTTTTATTTCAAAAGTCAAATGAGAAAATTTAAATAGAAAACCGTTTCCATAAAATGCGAACAACCTTATAACAAGAAAAATCAGAGCTCTTCAAACTGGAATTTTTTTTAACTAGCTTAATTTTATTCAGTAGTTAAGATTCAGTTCTATGAGTTGAAAGCAATAGATACGATTCTGGATCAAGAAGAGAAGCGAAAGATTTGAATAACATTTTTACACTAATTTTTTTAGATTTTTAAATTTAAAAAGATTGTTTAATAGGAAATTTTTTTATTAAAGCTTTTTCAAGTTAAGACTGTAGTTTCAAGAAGTTTTAGGTTTGCTATTCCTCCAGCCCCGAAGATGATTATTTAAAAAGGTATTTCCACTAATATAGTAATCAAGCCGTATTACGTAAAATTTGAAAAATGCTTCAATTAAATAATTCTTATAAACATCTGAATTGGGAAAATAAGCGAATAAAATGTCTAATTAACAATCTAGCAAACGCTCCACAGAAGTTCTAAATTAATTAATGTGAAAACATGATATTTGAAGCCATATTTAGATAAATTAATGCTGAATTTTGAGAGAACTCTTCAATGACAGGAATACCTGAATCAGATTTGGCGCTAGTTTACAAAAGGCTATCTATATTCCCTTTGAAAAACGGCGGAAAAAAAAAAAAAAAAAGAAAAAGAAAAAAAAAGAAGGCAACCCTGCCGGTGCACTCACCACCGTCAGAGCAGAATCTACCACTCGGTTACCAAACACGCGACATGCTTAGCGGTACGGATATAATGAACGACCTCTTCACGGTGAACAGCCGCTCACCTGCGGGAAGAGATTAATCGTAACGGATGCCGTGAAAATCACTTTGCTAGTTTATACAGATAAGGATTGAACTGATCGCACTTACCTCTTGGAATAAGATGTCGGGATTGGACAAAGATCGTTTCCACAGAGCAGCAAGAGATGGTTTCTTGGATCTGTTACGGGACGCAACCCGCAAAGATTGTAATGCACCGGATGAAGATGGAATGACACCCACATTGTGGGCAGCATATTATGGAAATTTAGATGCACTGAGACTTATTGTCGGAAGAGGGTAAGCTGAAATTTTATTACTTCTTTCTAAGCGTTTAAAGAAAACAAGCCTAAAATTTGCGAAACAAATAAAATTCATTATGATGAACTTGTTTCTGGAATTTGGAGGCTATAAAATGTATGTATTAAAGATATACTTTTATTCTCTAAATTCTTAATTACTACCAAATGTCTAAATTCTGTAACGTTTAAGATTATACTAAATTTCAATTCCAAGATCTTCCCATTTTTGCCAAAAAATAATGTGAATTTTTACATACCAACCAGCACAATTCCATAAATTCGAACTAAATAAGCCATTTCACTAAAAACTCTATAAGGATAATCTGTAGGAACTATTTTGGGCAATTACAGTGTAAATGAATGTGAATACTGTTATGTATTGTTATACTGAAATACTGTGGAGCTGAAAAAATATATTTCACTACATTTACGTATCTCTTTTATTTAAAATAATGAGTGTTTTCTAGAGTCTTTTTTTTTAACCATTCTAACAAAGAGTTAATCTCTTTATCATTTGAAGAGAAGTATGCATGAAAGTAATCACTTGGGCGGATTTCACTCATCAGTTCACTATTTTATTGTTATTAGTCCAAAAGGCACATTAGTCTCGAAACACGATATTGGTGTTGTTTCACTTTTCATATGAGTCTGTTGCCATTCGGGATGATGTAAGACATTTTTCTTTCATATTTAAACTGTCTGTTGTCTGAGACATTAGGTAATTTTGGAAAAGCCGGAGAGATGAAAAATTAGCAACCGCCTTCGCCGGGAATCGAACCATGGACCTCTGGAATACCGGCCCAGCGTGCAGAACCACTACACCACAAAGGTACGCTAGGAAAGGGGGAGAAATGCCGTATATACTCTCCTTTTTAAAGGGCGACTGGGGTTTTTAGGGGACCCAATCGCCAAATCCTGGGTATGGAGAAACCTCATCCAACCCTTTTAGTTCGGGCGCGCTTTTAGAGAATTAGGATTTTTTGGGAGCAGCCGAGAGATGAAAAATTAGCACTTGCCTTCGACCGTAAATCGAACCATGACCTGGAATACCCCCCAGGTGCAGAACTACTACACCAAGGCACGCTAAAAAGGTGGGAGAAATACCTTATACTTTATTAATTAACAAACTAAGCTATTAAAAACAATAAATAAATGACGTCTTAAGAATAATATTTTTACTTTTTAAATATTATTAGTTTAAATAAAAATATTTTAATTACTGATAATCTAATTAACAATATTAAATATTTTATATAGAATTACATTGCATATTTTTTTCACTTTTTAAATATACAGCAAGTATAAAACGTTTCCATGTTAGTCTAAGTGCATATTCATCTAATTATCCTATAAAATGGTTTGATGTTCCATCTCGACCATTTCTATCGATAATCTCTACTGATAAATAATATTAAATTTAAAAGATCCCTTTTGGTAGATCGTTAAAAATCTGAACCTTTTCAGAAATGTTTCATTAAACTTTTTTCTCTTTTTTTTTTTTTTTTTCTGTGTGATGTACTTCAGTTTCGTTATAGAAGATGTACTCATGCCTTGAGAATGAAATAAGGAACAAAATATATGCTGGTCCTTTTTAAATTACTATGTTTTAATCACAAGAACTAAAAATAATAAAAAAAGAGTTTTTTCCATTGTTTAAGTATTTTTTAACAACAACGACCAAAAAGAAAGCCATGGGGCTGATAACAATAGCGAGTTTGAATCAAAAACTATGAAACAGAAATTTAAATGAACAAAATGTAATGGTCGTTTATATTCCTTATTTGTATACCATCATTTCAAAGTTTCTTGAAATTTTGTTAATGTTGTTATACATTTCATATAGAAGAGTTCTGCAGTTTTAATAAAATTCCACGGTTCTTAAGTACATATGACCAAGAATACTATGATTACTAAAACCAATTTTTAATTTTTTAAAACATTTTAGCACATTTGATTAAAACTGTAAATATAATATATATAAATATATATATATTCATTATTTACATATATATATATACCTAGATATGTATGGTAAGAGAGTTGAAGATAAATAATAGAAATTAGAACCAATCACAAAGTCTTGAAAAAATGAATCAAAACAGTAAAATCTAAAAAAAAAAAAAAAAATATCAACTAAGTTTTCAAACCAGAAGAAATCCCGAAAATACAAAAATATATAAAAATATAAAATAGGAAAAGAAATACTATTATATATAAATTACTGTCATGTAAAAAAATCTGATGTGGACGCCCCATGATTTGCTTGTACGGCTATTAAATTATACACATTTTTTGCTGCATTTCGTTGAAACTCTATTTCCTCAAATTTCATCAGAGATATATTTCTCATTCAATTAATTCAGTTCTCACTTCGCAGCGGCAAGACAAAAAAATTACTTAAAAACTCAAAATATCATGATTAAAAATTGTAAAATACTCCCCCCCCAATAATATATATATATAACACCGAATACAGTTAAAACAAATAAAAAACAATATTTACAATTAAAATTACAGTTTCTAAGCAAAAACAAGCAATTTGACCAGCTGGCAAGAAGCCAAGTTTGTCAGTGAATGTGAATGTTTACTTTTGGTCCCACTCAACAGAAAGACGCTGAACTTCGTGCAGAAGCTGACTTAATTCGCTATTTTTTACTAAGAGTTTCAAATGCAAGCAGATGGCTTCTTAGATAGGCTTAGTAGCACTTAAACAACTGTTAAATTGTTGATAATTCTACAACTACTGCGTGCAGATTAACTAAAGACATAAAAACCTTAACTGGAATATAAGAACAACATTATTCCATCAGTTTTAAAGCAAAAAATGCACAATTTACCAATCTAGAAAATAAAAACACCGAGCTTACTGGTGCGGCAGATTGCAACTAAAAAAGGAAGGTACACAACTACATGTTATAGCGGTCCTATATGCAAAATTTCAACGTTCTGAAGCTACTTGTTTTGAAATTTGCGAGATACATACACACGTACAGATATAAAAAAGAAACTCTAAATACATTTTAAATCGATTTTTCAATCCATTTTTGGAAAAAGTCCTTTATTCTCTTTGTACATACAGATGTCATGAAAAAACGTCGTTTAAATGGATTTATGAGCTGCCAAAATGGATATATATTTTCAACAAAATATATATCCATTTTGGCAACATTTTCAACAAAATATATATCCATTCAAAATAATATTTTCAACGAAAATATTATTCCCGAAATTTTTCATGATTAGAATACTTCCTTTACTTCGTACAAAGAAGTAAAAAACATTCGTTTTAATTTCATGTGCAATTATGTTCCGTCAGTTAAAATTTTTGTTTGATTTATAAATTCGATCTCATCATCCTTCATAAACCGATTATCAATAAAAGATTCAATCTTTTGGTCTAAAAAATCCATGGCTATTAGCAACGGCATACTGCAGGATAGCTAAAGTGAAACGATTTTTGAAGAGCTACCGAAGTTCGGCAAATTACATTAGGTATTTCGGAAAACCATCATTTAGCAGATTGTTTTGGTTTATCGGATGATGTAAAGCTCCAAATTCTACTGCGATTACTTTTATCTCTAAACAAACATTTTAGAGAAAATTTCAACAATAAATAGAAAATAATCTATTCTAAATTTTAAAAAATCTATAGGCTATTAGAACATTATTGCAACTACGTATGTGTACAAAATTTGGATTGATAAGAATTTCAAGAAAATCGAGAAAATCTGTTAAAGATTAATTTCAAGATTTGACCCAAAAACCAAGTTAAAGGAAATGCATAAAATAAACACAGATAAGAAAGAAAAGCGCATTACAATTCAAACTTACTTTTTTGACCGCTCAGTTAAAGAACGGATTTGAAGCATATGTAAATCACTGTAAAATCAACAAATTTATATAATTTTTTTAATAGCAAAAAATTTCCCAATCATATAAAATGGTCAGCACAATGCTATCTTCCATTGTTTTAGAGAAATGGCAATTAATAAATTATAAAATATGTACAGTATTAAAAGATAATTTGTAAGGTTGAAAGTAAACTTGGGAATCTGTGATCATTTGTAAATGAATTAGTCATTTTTAAAATTACTAACTGCACTTTAAAACTCTTAGCCAAATTTTTAACTTTTTGCGTTTTAAATTGATACCCAAATATGCCGATTAAAAGATAAACTGGGGCAGAAAAAGGAATTGATAAATTACCGATCGTTTATTACTGTCTTTTCAAAACGTTAAAAAATTCTTAAAATGAATGGAGATGATGGATAGAGTAGGAAAACGGGTGGAGGAGATAGAAAATGCAACCGTCATGTAAGCCAAATTTCCTACATCTTGTGGACGCAATGCATTAAACCTCAAATAAAATTTCCTATAATTTCGAAATTGGTTAAGGAAGACTAGAATCTTTCACAACCATATTACATTTCAAAAATTATTAATATTCAATATTTGTAATAAAAGTTTCTGACAGTGAATAAAATGAGCCGGTTAATACACTTGAAAATTATTGATACTAAAGGTACACTATTCCGATTCTAAATTGTAAGTTCTTTACTCATCGTATGGGATAATTAGAATATAAAAAATAGGAAAATATGATTCTGGTAAACAGATTACTTGGTTCTGGTAAACAGCTTGAAAATCAGTATGTTAATTTCCTCACCTGCATTTCAAACACGATTTCCAAATTGTCTACTGTAAAGACATAGGCAGACTTTCAGATTAATAAAACAACTGTCTTTGGAGAGGCCGCTTTAAAGCTTTTGTTGTGAAACAAAAGTTTTAAAGACTAATTCTGAAACTACACTCAACTTTGTGAATGGCTTTCCCGTTGTCTTAAACAGAAAGAGACCTTATGATCCCTGAAAAGGGGGCGCTCTCTATATTTACGTCATCGTGAGGGTACATAGGGGTTTCCCGTATCTTCCACTGAAACAAGAAAAGATGGTTAACGTAATATTTACAGAAGCCCTGATGCATTACTTTCTTTCATAC